CCGCTGAATTATGCCACGAACGTCGCGCGCGGCAACCTCCCAATCAGACATCTTGATGCGCGGCGCCGGCGGGCGGCCCAAAGTTGCCGCGCATGAAGGCGCCCCATTCGTGCCTCTGAACCGCCGCGGCGGGCCGCTCAATGCTGCGCTGCACTAAACTGCATCGCGCGAAATCCATCCACTTTTTGGTGGGGCACGGCTGTCGCGGGCGTGCGGCCAGGATGTCGCCGCGCAACTCAACTGCCTGGATAATGCCAAATGCTTCGCGCGCGTAGATTCCACTGCGCGGTTACCCGCCGGCGCAGTCACCGCGCCGAGCATGTTCAAAAGGGTGCAAATCAATACCAAAGATGTTGCTTTCTTCAACGCCCATGCAAAAACCCCCGTGCCACGCACATCACCATCACCATCGCCCTCAGCATCGCCATCGTCATCGCCGTCGTCGTCACCATCATCACCATCACCATCATCATCGTCACCACTAGCGCCAGAATCAACATCCTCCTCCTCATGATCAGCATCTGGGTCTTCGTCGCCGACATCATATGTAATCACCCGTATCGTCATCAACAACATCATAATCATCATCAACGCCGTCATCGCCATCGTCATCATCATCATCATAATCATCAGCAGCATCGTCATAATCAGCATCGTAATCAGCACCATCATAACTACCACCATCAACGTCACCGCCATCATCGTCATCATCATAATCAGCATCGTCAGCGTCATCATCATCATGCTCAGCATCGCCATCATCAGCATCACCACCAGCATCATTATCATCAACATTACCATCGTAATCATCATCATCAACATCCGCACAATCATCACCATAATCGTCATCGCCATCGCCATCATCAGCATCACCATCAGCATCATCAGCATCAACGACATCATCATCACCATCATCTTCAGCATCGTCAGCATCATCATCATCATCGTTCTCGGTTTCGCCCTCGTCATCGGTACCACCTGCATCACCATCATCATCAGCATCGTCATCAACATTAGCATCATCATCACAATCACCATCATCAATATCATCGCCATCGACATGATCATCGCATCGTCATCGTCATCCGCGACGTCATCGTCATCTTCATCCACGTCATCGTCATCGTCATATCTGCTTTTGTTCGTCCCTCTTACTCGTTTCGTTCGTTATCTGCGCACTTCCTGTTTCGTGTTCCAGCCCCCGATCGAGTCTGGTCCTCCCTCTTACTGGCCGCATCCCTCCTTCTGCTCCTCCTCTGTCTCATCCTCCCCTCCTCTTCCTCCTCACCCTCCTCCTCCTCCTCCTCCTCCTCCTCCCTGCCCTTCCTCCTCCCTGCTCTTCCTCCAACTCCCCGTTCTTTCTCCGCCATATTGTACTTCCTTGTCCTCCCCCTACACCCTTCACTCTCCCTCCTCCCGCCCTCCTCCTCCTCCCCCTTTGCGTCCTCCTCACTCGCTCCTTCTTCTCCTGCTCCTCATCCTTGCTTCTCCCCCCTCACTCCTCCTCCTCCTCCTCCTCCTCCTCCTCCTCCTCCTCCTCTTCCTCCTCCTTCTCGAATTAGTATGGGAATTCGTTGTATCCTTATTGTTCGTCTTCTTCGTCGATGTCTTCTTCCTCCTCCTCCTCCCGCCCTCCACCTCTTTCTCGTTTGTGTGCTCCTCACTCACTCTTCTCCTCCTCCTTCTTACTTCATTCCCCCCACTCATCCTCACCCTTTGCAGATTAGTGTTGTGGTTTTATTGGTAGCGTTATGAATCGGATTCGCCTTAGTCGTATAAATGTTACTAGTCATATGCAATGGAATCGAACGATGAAAAGTAATATCATTATATCTAACATCATAGGTGGCAGTGTCATCGCTTGTTTTGTTATGCGTAGACCGATTGCTAGTATTAGTAATACTAATATTGCTGGTCGTATTATTGCCACTCGTAGTATCACTATATACCCGTCGTATACTTATTAATATTATTCCTCCTCCTCCTCCTTCCTCCTCTTCTGTAGCCATGTTAGGCTCAAATCGCCGTATGCGTGACCACGCGCAATCGCCGGGGTCGATCGGCCGCTTGACGCGCTGGGGGGGGGGTCGCTAGGGCGGCGCCGTTCGGTTCGCCCTGATCGGCGGGCAGGCGCGGATATGCCGAGCCGAGGCGACGCACGCATGCGCCGAGCGCGAGGACAGCTCCCACGGCACCAGAAGCTATGCTGAGACCGCGGCCGATACAGGGTGCCCAGGTGTGGCAGGCGACCATGCTGCCTGCATCAGGCTGTGCAGGTGCACCAAAGGATGCGGAGCAGCTCATCGACGTGTTCCTGCGGAGCCTCGCTCCGCCCGTCTCCCCCCTGCCGTCTGTGGCTGTGCAGCTATGGGGGAGCGGGCGGCCGAATTCTTCATCGGGGAGGCTGGGTGTGCAGCATTGACGCGGCGCAGCAGGAGCTGCTCGACAGGGTGTCCGAATCGGCCAACGTCGTTGCGCGATGGGATTGCGGGCCGTGCAGGCTCGCGGCGTGAAGGACATGCAAGCGACCGTCGAGTGCGACTCCGACGTGGACGGGCAACCAGTTGAAGCTCGACATGGCGTTCGAGCAGGCAATCGTCGCGTGCCAGCTGGAGGCGACGGGGGTGAAGGCAAGCACGGGGCAGGGCATGCAAGCCCTGATGGACTACGACTTGGTAGATACCTCCCACATTGGGTGCGAGCAGTGGGCTCGAAGGGTCGCGAAGCATCGCCGACTCATCGTCGACTTCGGCGACGCCTCGGCGCCGTCGGCGTGGAGAAAATCGGGCTCCACATCGCGCCGCATCGCCGGCACGTCGGCGATGCGGCGCGATCCTCCGACCCCGTGTGCTCGGACCCCACCTCGGAGGCCTAGAGACCGTGGCTTGGGCGTGGACGTGCGGCCCGAGGTCACCCCCGCTTGAGAGCGGAAGCTGCAGGCCAGGCCGACCGACGTGCAGCAGGGCACAAGTGCCTTCGTCGCGGGCCGCGTCGCCGGGGCACCCCGAGCCGCGCAAGCCCGTCTCTCGCTGCCCACGGGCTCCGCCCGTGCCGCCCACTGCCGTGCACGTGGAGGCGGTGGATGTCAGGGCCCCCTACACGGGGGCATCGCTGAACGGGATGCCTTGGCTTTTCAAGATGCCCCCGTGTACGGCAGGTTCGTGTCGTGCCGACCCCAGCGTTGGGTTTTGACACCGCAGGGATCGTTCAACCTTGAACGATCGGCCGCTGCCGCAACGTCCGATCGTTCAACATCGATCGATTCTGGGTCGCCGGCGGCGTTCAACCTTGAACGCCCGCGCTGGGGTCTCCGCTGGTCGACACGACGCAAACCTACCGTACTAATGATGCCCCCGTCTACGGAGCCCACGGCCCCCTGGCCAGGGGCGTACAGTCGTCGTGATACCGTTAGGAACGCACAAGAAGGAGCGAAGAGGCGCTCCTGGCCACGGCGGGCCTGGGCCACGCACAGGTTCCACGACGTAAAGCCAAGGAGCGGCAAGAAGACCAAGGCCCTTCTGAACCCAAACGGGTCCTTATTTCAGAGTTTTGCTTGGAGCCACAGGTGGACACTGGCATTCCCCGTGCCGCCGTTTGCTGTGACACCGTCTCCGGCGACCTGAGGATTGTGTCCTCGAGGTGGTCCGGGGTCTTTGTGCGGACGGAATGCAGCAGGAGAGCGGCAAGGGACACGGAGAGGCTCGTGAATGAGTCCCTGGTGTAGGTAATAGTGGCAAACAGGGTGGGCGTTCGACCAGGGCGATGTGGCGACATCGATGACGAGCACCACTTTGTGATGAATTACTTAGCGGGGCTGCAGGAGATTGACGAGGAGCTGCAGAAGCGCGACGAGCCGATCGAGGCCGACGCGTTGCAGGGAACACACAGGCCCCCGCCGAGTGTGGCGTCGCTAAGTGGGCCACAGCAGGCTGGACAAATCATCCTCACGCAGTCCGTGATGCTGCCTTGCCTGTCCCTGGCCGTACAGGAGGCGATGGAGTGCTTCCTCGTAGATGTTGGTAATCGCGGTGCGGACGAGGCGCATCACGAGCGTGGCAAGGCCGTCATGCAGACCCTCGTGAGGAGCGAGCTGGGCAGCGCGGAGCGGGGCATGCAGGCCATCGTAGAGTGCGAGCTGGACGTGACAATCCAGGCCGAGCAGGTCTGCGTGATGGCTAGTGGTCCAGTCGCAGCGGCGCGGGCATGGCGTCCTGCTACCCCAGGCGTCGGCGTGTGGCGGCTGCTCGCCCTGCAGGTCCGAGCTGCGGTGCGTGAAAGCACTGAAAATGGGGATTCGGGGACGCACTAACTCGGGTCAGCGCAAATCCGGGTCAGCCAGGGCCCTGTCGGGAAGCCAGGCCGGCTGCTCACTAACTCCAAAACCACGGTGAGCGGAAGGCAGACAGGGGGAATCCGCCCCTCATGGCTCCCAAATCCGGGTCGGCCAGAGGGGATTGACTACCCCCCCGTTGGCGCTGCGAGGGATGTCGCACGTCGTGCTGCCAGTGCTGAAGATGTTCGTGCAGAGGCGCGTGAGGGGCCCGTCGTGGGGGCGAGCAAGTGCTTCGAGGAAGGGACAATGCACGACAATCCCGATGACATAGTCGGGTACCGGAGGCATCCGTGGGGGCTGCAGTGCTTTAGCCTTCCTGGTTGTCTCAGTGATACCACTCTGGTTTAGCAAAAGAGGTCATGAAAAGCATGTCTTCCTTCCTCGCCCTCCTCGTCGTCCTCCTCCCTCCTCCCACACCTCGGCTGGAAGGGCCAAGTTGAGACATCGGCGGCCCGAGGAGAAAGAGGAGGGAAGATAATGAAGAGGGAGACAGAGAGAGTGAAGTGAGGAGTGAAGGGAGGGAAGAGCAGGAGGATTAAAGCGGAGGGAGGGAAGCGGAGGACCAGGTCACCAAACCTCGCGCATCGCGCCCCGCGATGCACGACGGATGCGCGACGCTAAATCTTCACGCCCTGGCGCCCTCGCGACGCCCCCCTTGCACAAGGGCGGGTGGCCTAGGAAGAGAAGGAAGGGAGAGGCGGGGGGAGGGCTCAGACGCCTACACTGATCTTTCGATCCCGTCTCCTCGCTCCGCCAGCATGTGTCCGTGCCCCCCGAGCACCGTCACGCTCAGCAGCTCCGCGGACGCCCCGACGGGCACCGTCAGCGACACCTGGGTTCAGTCGGAGAACCCCCCTTCGCCAACTCCGCCCCCTCCTCCTCCTCCTCCTCCTCCTCCTCCTCCACCTCATCCTCATCCTCCTCCTCCTCCTCATCATCACCACCATCACCATCACCATCACCATCACCATCACCATCACCATCACCATCATCACCATCACCATCACCATCACCATCACCATCACCATCATCATCATCATCATCATCATCATCATCATCATCATCATCATCATCATCATCATCTCATCATCTCATCATCTCATCATCTCATCATCTCATCATCTCATCATCTCATCATCTCATCATCACCACCATCACCATCAGCATCATCATCAGCATCATCATCATAATACCCATCATCCACATTATCATCATCATCATCAGCAGCATCAGCATCAGCATCATCATATCAGAAAAAACGTGTTCTACCGCTGCTGGCGGAAAACCGGGGGGGGGGTCACTACCGGTTCGACCCCCTCCCCCCGTCTGGAAAACCGGGGGGGGTCACTACCGGTTCGAACCCCACCCCCCCCCCCTCCCCCCAGTTCATCATGAAAGAGGGGGGTCACTACCGGTTCGAACCCCCCCCCTCCCCCCCCACTCGAACTCGAAAACCGGGGGGGGGTCACTACCGGTTTGAACCCCCCCCCCCGCCCCCCTTCCCCCCCTCGAAAACCGAGGGGTGGTGCGGACAGTGGTGGGGACGGTGGTGGGGACAGTGGTGAGGGGACAACGGGACAGTACTGGTGGGGACAGTGGGACAGTGGTGGGGACGGTAGTGGTGGGGACAGTGGGGAGGACAATGGTGGGAACAGTGGGGACAGTGGGACAGTGGTGGGGACGGTGGTGGTGGGGACAGTGGTGTGGGGACAGTGGGAATGTGGTGGAAACAGTGGGACAGTGGAGGGTACAGTGGTGGTGGGGACAGTGGTGAAGGCGGTGGCGAGGACGGCGGTGGGAAATTGGGACAGAGGTACAGTGGGGACAGTGGTGGGGACAGTGGGGACAGTGGTGGGAACAGTGGGACAGCTCAGTGGGACAGCGGAGGAGTCAGTGGGACAGCGGGGACAGTGGGGATAGTCGTGGAGAAAGCTGGGGGAGTGGAGCCGTGGTGGGAACAGTGGTGGGGACAGTGGGGGACAGTGCGACAGTGGTGGTGGCTAGGGGCGGTGGTAGAACCAGTGGGGACAGTGGTGGTGAGGACAGTGGCGCTGGGAACAACAGTGGGGGATGTGGTGAGGACGGTGGTAGGGACCGGAGTCGTTTGCTGGAGGTGAGAGGGGAGGTGGGGAGGGGTTCGAACCGGTACCCCCCCCCCTCCGGTTTTCGAGGGGGGGGGGGTTCGAACCGGTAGTGACCCCCCCCGGCTTTCGAGTCCGAGGGGGGAGGGGGGGGGGGGGGGGGGGGGGGGGGGGGGGGGGGGGGGGGGGGGGGGGGGGGGGGGGGGGGGGGAGGGGGGGGGGGGGGGGGGGTTTTGCCGGGGGAAAAAGGGGGGGGGGGGAGGGGTTCCAGCAGAGCGGGGGGGGGGGATTTTTCGGGAGGGGGGGGGGGAACCCCCAGGCTCCGGAGGAAAAGGGCGGCAATTTTCCACAGTAAAGCGGCGGTGGATCACGCTCTCTCATATCATCATCAATGATTGTCATACCCATCATCATCATCAGGATCATCATGATCCGCATCATCATCGTCGTCAGCATCATCATCATCATCATCATCATCATCATCAGCAGCAGCAGCAGCATCCTCCTCCTCCTCCTCCTCACCCTCCTCCTCCTCACCCTCCTCCTCCTCCTCCTCCTCCTCCTCCTCGATAATCCCACCAGCCCTCTGGGCGTCGGGGAGGGGTTTATCACTGTTCCCTGTTAATCTACACCCCCTCCCCCAAGCGACTGGCAGCCAACCAGGGACAATGCGGGCACCCCCTCACACATCCCTTGTAAAAAAACAATACAAAACACAGCATGCGCAACCAACCCGATGCGGCATCCCCCCACCATCCCTGTCACAAAAAACAATACAGAGTACACTTGGCGGCGGCGGCGGCTGCGGCGGCTGCGGCGGCGGCTGCGGCGGCGGCTGCGGCTGCGGCGGTGGCGGCGGCGGCGGCGAGGTTGGCGGCGGCGGCGGCGGTGGCGGCGGCAGCGGTGGCGGCAGCGGCTGCGGCGGCTGCGGCGGCGGGCAGCGGGGCGGCGGCGGCGGCGGAGGCGGCGGCGGCGGCGGGCAGCGGCGGCGGCGGGCAGCGCGGCGCGGAGGCGGCGGCGGCGGGCGGCGGGGGCGGGGGCGGGGGCGGGGGCGGCGGCGGCGGCGGCGGCGGCGGATGCGCCCCCAGTAGCTGCCCGTCCAAAGACGACTGCTGAATATGCTGAGGCTCGGGCCAAGCTCGGGTGTTACGTATGTGTTGGGAGGGCGGGTGGGAGTGAGCGAGACGGCTTGCGGGCGGGGAGGGAGTCTTGACCCCTCCCCCTACCCTCTCCCCTGGACCTGGACGGAGGGTTTCGCGACGCGTTGGAGCGTCCAGAACGGCCTCGGCGAGGAAGGCAAAATCATTGGTTTTACTGTGTTGGCTCCATTTTGGCCTCCTGAGGGGGGGAGGCTAAGTTAGCCCCCCCCTCCTGTGATGGATCTCCTCCAAGATGGCCCCAAGAGGCGCCCAGGAGGCCCCAAGAGGCCCCGAGATGGCCCCAAGATGGCCCCATGTGGCCCCAAGAAGCCCCCAAGAGGCCCCCAGGATGCCCCCAATAGGCTTCCAAGAGACCCCCACGAGGCCCCAAGAGACCCCCCAGAGGCACCCAAGACGCTCCAAGAGGCCTCGGCGATAGTGCCCAAATCATTGATGTTATTAAGGTTTCGGCCACATGTGGGCCTCCTGGGGGGGGCACTGCTTCAGATGACTCCAAGAGCGCCTGGGAGAGCCCAAGATGACCTCCAAGATGGCTCAGGATATCCTAAGATGCCTCAAGATGGCTCCCACGATGCTCCAAGAGGCCCCAAGCCGCTTCAAGACGGCTCCAAGTGGCCAAAGAGCTCCCTAAGGAGGCCCCGAAGAGGCCAACATCCTTCCAAAACCTACGGAAAATCCATGTGTTGGGCTTTCTCGCCTTTCCGCTTCCGATGGCCATCCGAGGCTTCAAGATGACTCCAAGATGACTCCAAGATGGCTCCAAGAGCGCTCCCAAGGCTCCCAAGAGCGCTTCAAGAGGGCCCCAAGAGGCGCCCAGGAAGCCCCAAGAGACCCCCAAGGCCCCAAGAAGCTCTCCGAAGCACCCAAGACGCTCTAAGAGGCGTCCAGGACGGCCAAGGGCCCCCCAAGACGCTCCAAGAGGCCTCCACTGGGGAACCCTTCCTCTGTGTGCTGCCCACTTCCCTGATCGAGGCACTTCCTCTGGGCATCGTTTCTGCATGGGCTGGTGGGGTTACGCGAAGCGTCTAGATACAAAAATCCCCTCTCCTCCTCCTCCTCCTCCTCCTCCTCCTCCTCCTCCTCCCCCTCCTCCTCCTCTGTAGCTCACCATAATCCCCCCACTGCACTCCTCCTCCTCCTCCTCCGCCGCCTCTTCTCCTGCGGCCCCTCTCCTCCTCCTGCTGCTGCTCCTCCTACTCGACCCATGCTGTTGCCCCCCTCCTCTCCGCGGCTGCTGACTTGGCTGTGCGAGAGGAGGGGGGAAGTAGAGGGAGAGGGATGGGAAAACGAGAAAAGAGAGAGAGAGAGAGGGAGAACGACAGAGAGACAGAGAGAGAGAGAGAGATAAGGCGAGCAGGGAGAAGGATGGGACAACGGGGAAGGCAAAGAGAGGAGAGGCATGAGGGAAGATGGTCGACGGAGGGGACGGGGAGGAGGAGAGGACGGAAGGATGTAGGGAGATGGGAGGGAGGGGAGGACGGGAAAGCGGGCAACAAGGAGAAAGGCGATGGGGAAAGGTTAACGTAAGGACGAGACTAGACGCAGGATGAGAGGAGAGGAGAAGTAGAGGGTATGGAGAGATGCGTGCAATCACGAACGAATGGATTGCCGAATGCACCAGGTGCATACTATATTTTGGTGACCCCCCCCCCCGAAATTTGCCGCAGATGGTTCCGAAATGCTCAGAATGGCTTCGGCGTTAGGTGTTGGTGCGAATGGTTTCAAATGTTGTTGCGTGTGATGCTACACCATGGTGCTGTAAATTACTGAACTGTACACTGTACACATGGAACATGTTCCGCATGATTGGTGCGGACACCGTGTTCCATGTGATGTTCGGAATGACGTATATAAGCTGTTCGTGGATGCTCCTTTGCGATTTACACATGTCGTCTGCGCACACCTGGTGTGTCGCACATGCATCGCGAAGACAAAGCTGCATGAACTGTTGGTTGTCCATTGGCTCGACCTCATGGTGTATGACTGGACACGCGCTCTTCATGATACATGTCGCTGGCGCTTGATGTGATGGGTGCAATTGTGGATTATCACAGAAATGTGTGCATGCGTGTGTGTGTGTGTGCGTGTGTGTGTGTGTGTGTGTGTGATCGGTTTCCGCTCTTAGTGTCAACTAATCGCAGACAGCCTCCCCGGGGCGATACCGCTAACACAAGCAATCGCACACATATTGGCGTTTGGCGGGGCTTTTAGGCGACATCGCTAACGCATTAAAGAATGCGTGCCGCCCCAAGAAATTGCCAGCAGAGAACAACCGAAGGCGGCAACGCAAAGGCTGCTGCATTCCACAACGCCTGGCGACAATGAGCGCACCGGAAAACAACAAAGAAATCAATGATCAACCGTTACGACAATACGACGCCGTGGTTCCTCGCTAGGAAACCGAAGCGACAGATGAATAACGGCACGGGGGGCACAGGGGACCACGAAGACGCGGGCTCGCGTGAGCATTAGCAACCCACATGGAAATGAGACTTCCCAAAAAACCATGCGGGGGGGGGGGATATCGCACACGCGTTCCGCGACCGCCCTGGGACGTTACCGTTAGCGCGAAGTTCAACGACACATCCGCA